AAGGTAACTTCTGACAATTGGTTCGGTGCAGCTAAACAGTGCACAACAAGATGTCTCAATGTAAACACAAGATACCGTGAATACAATTGTGAATTGCATACTGCGGAACTGTCTATCTACACCAGCCAGTTCCTCCGTATATATAAACCTCAATCCTCCAGGTACCTCCGTACCTGGCTCACCTCGATCACCAAGCGCTCCTGGTGATCCATCCTGGCTCACCTCGCTCACCCAGCGCTCCTGGCGAGCCGGCTCACCTCTGCCAAGAGGTGAGCGCCCCACTGTCCTGCAGCCCCGCTGTTATCTGTTACTTGATTGGTCACCACAGCCTGCTGCAGTCCCCACTCTGCCTTGCTATATGGTTGGTCTGTGACAACATTGCGTCTCCGGCCCCATCTTGATTGGACAGAGAGCGGCGCAACGCCACATGAGGTAATGTGAATGCGCCAGTTATTACCGCAATTTCACCAGCTTGTAGATAAGGAGCTTAAATCGCTCCTTTCGCCGGCTTCAAAACTTTCGTGAAATGTCCACCAGCCTTGCACACTGGCGTAGCGTCATTACCAATCACAGGCCAGCGGCTCAGAGCAAACCTGCTTTTACCAAGACATGCAGCCCAATATTGTCTGAGCCAGCCAAACCATCACTGACCAGTGGCCTCAAGACATGCAGATTCCAAATGTGTCGGGCCGCTAGTCTATCGTTTTTCGACCTTTTTAGTGGACAGATCGTCGTGATTCGTGGATTTGGTTTGGATCAGGTCATGGAAGACATATTAAATTAAATCCTTTTGTTGGCTTGACCTGCGGACATGATAAGCGGCCAGGCCCTATACTAGGGGGTTCCGGGCCGGTGTAGAGGTTCCGAGGGTGGGTTCCGGCCGGCGCCTTGGTTGCCAAGTTTGACTCAGGTTGCCAGTCAAGTCCGCGATGCCCCAAACTTGGCTGACCTGCACTGACTTATTGCCCACCCTGGAACTTTCGATTTGAGATACGCTAGTTCGCTAGGTAGCTAGCTAGCCGAATCCATCCGACGAAAAACACCAGCCCAGGAGATCTTGAAGCTTTGGTTAGCGACCACAGCACCACAACGAAATCTTAGAGTAAGCAAAGGTACCGAAGGCTATTTGGAGAAATCAGGGTAGAAGTACACACGCAGTGTAGTTTGTATCAGGAAGACCTTGTACATTCGTGGTACTTCCGGACACTGCCCAGACCATTCCATATTTGACAAAAGCCAATGCCGCTGACTGGACCTGGTAGACATCCGGGAAGGCGTTGAGCCGCACCAGTCAGCCCCTGACAGTGGACCACCAACAAGGTTGCATGTGACCCGCAGATGCGCCATCGACAAGGCGATCAGTCCCTGTTCCCACGGGGAGACTCGCAACAGAGTTTGATAACGGACAGTTGACCAATAGATCTAGTATCCTCGCCATCCCCCCTTGCCGGCTGAGATTTTGGATTTCGTTGGGTTCCATTCGATCCGCCAAACGCCCTGGGCTGGGCCTGCCCTGCATGAATCGTTAGCTAGGTGTGGGTCATGACTTGTCCGATGGGGCTTTGATCTTCTATCGACAAGCAAGATGGTTAGGCCTTTCAAAATGGCATGATATCTTGACATTGTCGATGAGTTGGACGGCTATGGCATGAGCTACTTCATCTTTTTGATAGCCAGCTTAAGATCCAGGCGTTTGCTCTTGGAAGAAGTATAAGACCCCTTCGTCTGCCTTGCCCTGTCTTGACACTTGCTCTTCATTGAAAACATCACACCAACACGAGAGCTGCAACGTTTATCGTGACCAAGTCCTTCACCCGCCCCCCATGGGGCGTTCTGGCAGTTGGGGCCATGATCATGGTCCCGTCTGCTCTTGCTGCTATTCGCCTCGATATAGGCCCTCGAAAACGTCCAGGTTGCCGAGATCACACCCTGATGCCCACGTCAGACGCGACAAGCAAGAAGTTCTGTTCAACAAACCAGACTCAGACTTTGATCTCCCGCTTCGCTGCAAGCCGGCTCAGGGCAAGCTTCTCACACTCACCGACGACGAAAAGTGGGCTGCCTGCTGCCCGCCCGGTTCTCGACTGCTCGGCACGATTAACACAGCGTTTGACTGCTGTGGCGAGGGTCATGACTTGGCAGGAAGCAAAGATACGGGATGGACATGTTGTCCTTCGGGCTACGAGGATGATGGAACCAAGTGCAAAGACCCAAAGCCTCTCTGTCCCAACGGAATGGAGCTCGTGGACGGGAAGTGTGTCTGTCCACCCGGGACTACCCAGGCTGCGGATAGAACCTGTAAGCCAAACACGGCCAATGGAGGTGATGGCAATGGGGGAAACCAGGCCGGAAAGCATCCTTTAGGTCCTTGTTCATCAGAAATCTCCTCTGGTACGACCACCACATCACCGTTTCTGTATGGCCATACCTAGTTTCCCAGGCCAGCTACCTCTTTAAGATGGACAACGGCGAGTATCTCGGTTTCAACAAGAAGTGGTACGCTGCGTCTAAGCCTTCCCGCGACCACCAGATGGGCAAGTTCAAGCTCTGCAAGACCAACGCCTGCCTCGATTCCGAGTCTAGCAGATCAACCCCGGTGATCCCATTCGCATTCTAGACCTTCACGGTGAACCGAATAGCGGGAAGGACCCCAACCAGTGGCTCAATAACGCACAAAACGGAGGCCACATTGCCTGTACACCCAAGTTTGAGGATGCCGGCGTATTCACAATCAGCAAATGGACGGAGGGCAAATACTGCATCTCAGGCCTGGAGACCGGCGTCGGTCCTACCTGTCCCAGTGATAGCCCTGCCCTGGTGGCCAAAGTCCTGGTAGTCAGTTCCCAGGTGGACAGTTCCCAGGTGGACAGTTTCCCGGTGGGTACTTTCCTAATGGACAAAACCCAGGTGATCGGTTTCCTGGTGGCCAGAACCCAGGTGGTCAGTTTCCCGGTGGTCAGAACCCAAGTGGTCAAAACCCAGGGGGACAGAATCCCGGTGGTCAGTTTCCAAGTGGCCAGATTCCCGGTGGTCAGTTTCCTGGTGGCCAGTTTCCTGGTGGCCAGTTTCCCGACGGACAGAACCCTGGTGGACAAAATCCTGGATGCCGCTCTCCTCCGACTGGGACACTTACGCCGGGAGGTGGCGCAACTCCGACCTGCCCGCCTGGGCAGCCATGGAAGGATGGAACCTGTGTTATCCCCATCACCGATTGTGCTGACCGGGCTCATCCCGAGTTTGGCGATACGTCGTATAATCCGGCGAACTTCCCCTGTTCCATTGGTCGGGAGCGTCCGTGCCGTGGTGAGCAAGTTCAAGACTGGAAGCCAGCCAACCTTCCTTGGACTGGCACTCACCGCCAGCCTGGACCCCCTCAGCCTTATGAAACGACGATCAACTTTGACTTTGATGTCATAATGAGCATTGTCGATGTCGAAGCCCAGAGCGAGCACTTTTTGGTCAACCTTGACGGCACGTTTTGGGGCGAGACAGGGGGTGAGCGAGGGTACAAGAATCAGTATATCGGCAACTATAATGACCCAGAGTGGTGTCTTTTGAATGGATATACAAGAGGATATTTCTTGATTCCGAAGGTATGTTGTCTTCTTTCCCCTACCTATGCGTCCCACTCTGATAATTATCTCGACTTATCATTGTTGACACCGTCTGCATCACAGGGCAACACACTTTGACCATTGAATGGCCTCAGGGAACGGGCAAGTACCAAAATGATGGGGGCGATAACTGGTGGTACGGCATTGCACGCTACCGGTTCGACAAGCTGTGCGATCCCAGCAGGTGTCTACCTGATTGCGCTGTTGAGAAGGAGAAGGAGGCTCAACAGTTGAGATTGCAGCTGCAGAGAGAAGGGAAGTGGTCATCTGTTGCAAGCTCGCAGGGAAAGCAGTGGGGTTACTACGATCAGAAGGTCGTGGCCGGAGGGTCTAAGGTACCTTGAAATGAGTTGACGGAAAGGGCTGAGGATAGGATTCACTGCTCGGTTTTGACAGATCTAAGGACGACAATACACAAAAACACTGTCACCCGCATGAACCCCAAGGCAACGCTTCTCCTGATGCTGAGAACCACTCAACGTTCGGCAGAGGCTTTTTCATGACGGTCCTTAGGCAGGCAGGTCTAATCATGGTCACTTTCCATTGTATAATCAGGTATTTGGACCACGGGCTTGTGATTGGCTAGGTTTGAAACCGCATATATGCTCGAGGACGGCCCAGCAGGTCGAGGGGGATGCAAGCGACCAGGACAATAACTCTGCTCGAATTATCCATTACCCGTACCTGGACATCAATTGAAAAGCGACCAGAAGTAGGCTGCGCGAGACTGCAGCCATTGATAATGAACCTGGGGATGCTGTCGAGGAGACAAAAAAGGAACTTGGGATTGAAGGTGAAGGTGTCATCAGATAAACCTCTTTTGGAACGAAGTCATCCAATTTCTTTCTTGGTTCCATGTGCTGGGGCCAGACCCACTGTGGGATTTCATGCAAGCAAATTCCTGGGAAAGCCATTGGCCAGCACTTTGTTGACCGGCCCAACGATCCGGATTGCCAGGCCCACCAGCTGCCCCAGGCCCACCTCCCCGCATTCTAACCCTGTTCATTCCGCGGCCCGCCCGATGGTTTCTCCCAGCTCCATTCCCCTTTCATCCGGACTTTCTCCTGCCCCTGCAACATGCGCCGCTCTTTTCTTGTTTCGTTGACGTGATGAGATGTCATTGATGGATCGTCGCTTTTCTGTCCATCACCCTCATTGCGTTGGGGACAGGCAATATCCCCTATAGTACTCAGTCACTCCGTACAGTACATGCACACACTGACAGGTCGCGTGAGGTGGATTGCGTGCATCGAGTGCTCTTTCTTGCTGCTAACCCCATTGGCGAGCTTTCAGCGTTGCATTCCAGGTTCTGCTGTTCCGGGCCTTCTTCTCCCGTCGGCATCCTCTCGCCCAACATCCCGGGCCCAGCTCTGCCAGCCAAAGTCCAGCGGCAGGTGCTCTCGCATTCGTCAAATTGCACAAGGTGAGATGACTTGACCACAGAAGAGGTCTGTGTGGAAGCGTCATGCAAGCAGTCAACACCCACGGCCGTCACGCCGGTCAACCGGGTATCGGTCACCTCGCGGCCTCCATTGCAAGTCCCAATGGCATGGGATTATTGTCTGGAACCGAGCACTTTATACGAAATTGCTCCCCAAAATTGCTTCACCAACACCACACTAGCACCATCAGTCACTAGGTGTTCCCCATCATGCAGGGGGGCAGCCTTCGGTACACCCTGTCCGCTTCGCCGTTTGGGTCGCCCCTCAGGAAGGCTGATACCCATGGAAGTTCCCCAGTTGAGTCCATACCCCGCTCATGGTGCAACGACGGACTGTCGACTAGCCCCTGTTGGCATTTTGAAGGATTGCCCCCCTGGGCCTTGATGGACTCCCCTCTTGATCCGTGCTTGTTAACCGTCCTCAAGGGTCCGCCGAGGAGCGATGGCCCGTCATTGGAAGGGCTACTTGAACACCGGGTATGCACGCACGGGAGTTTGTGGCCTTTTGCTTTCTTCTTTTGTTCTTTTGGGACTTCTGCCGCACCATCTGACGACAACCTCTTTGGACGGCATCCAGCACACAGCAACACTGAGCAAGGTGGCAACATCCCACCGAGGGTCAGGTCGCCATGGCCCAACGACACCGGATTAGAAATGACTCGGCCTCGTCCTTTGAGGTCCCAGTTCATGAGACCCCTCGCTTCCAGAGGGTATACTGGACTCGGGAGCCTCATCTACGCAAACTCTATGGCATGGCCGCAATATTGATGGTGGCCTCGGCAACGACAGGCTACGATGGCATGTTGGTCAATACCTCACAGCAAATAGACCTATGGAGGTACTTTTTCTTTCCCGAACTGAGGGACAAGCCGAATGGGGATCCTATCCTGGATAGCAAACTGGCCATCTTGGTCAACATGTTCAACATTGGGTCCATTCTGTCCTTCTTCATAACGCCTCACGTGGCCGATACCTATGGGAGGAGATCGGCCATTGTGGCCGGCTGTCTGTTCATGATAGGCGGCGGTCTCTTGACTGCATTTGCCAACGGCTATGGGAGTGTGTTTGGCCCCACCACAGACATTCTTGGAGTGAGAAAGTGCTAACCTTGGTGCCGTGCAGTGTACATGGGCGGCCGTTTCATGCTTGGCTTTGGCAATTCTCTTTCCCAAATGGCATCGCCGCTCTTGCTCACCGAAATCTGTCACCCGCAACATCGAGGTCCCGTCACGGCCGTGTATAACTGTCTCTGGAATGCTGGTGCGCTGCTTGTATCATGCATCGCGTGGGGCACCGCCAACATCAAAAACGACTGGTCATGGAGGTCCATCACCTTTCTGCAAATCGTGCCGTCATTGATTCAACTCACGGGCATCTGGTGGATTCCCGAATCGCCGCGCTATCTCATCAACAAGGATAGACCTCAGGAGGCGCTACACATCCTGTCCAAGTGGCATGCTGGGGGGGACATAAACAACGCCACCGTTCAATTTGAGTACCGCGAGATTCGTGAAACTATCCGGATTCAAAAGGAGAACGAACAGTCCACCAGCTACAAGGACTTTTTCCGAACCAAGGGAAACAGATGGCGACTGGCCATCATCGTATCACTGGGTGTTATCTCCCAGTACAGTGGGAACGCTTTATTCAGCAACTACATCGACATGATCTACAGGGGAGCGGGCATCAACGACCAGAACCAGAAGCTGGCCATGTCCACCGGCAAGACCATCCTCGATCTCATCATCACCATCACCGCGGCGCTCAACGTCGACCGATGGGGCAGACGGCCATTATTCTTGGTAGCCATGGTCGGCATGGTCATCTCGTTTCTCTGCTGGACCATTACCGGAATTGTTTACGAGCATAGCAATCCAACCAACCTCACTGCTGGCTATGTGCAGCTCGTCTTCATTTGGGTGTTTGGCATATTTTACGACATTGGGTTTTCGGGCCTGCTGGTGGCCTATGCTCTCGAGGTGTTGCCTTTCCACCTCCGAGCCAAGGGGATGATGATCATGAACATTACCGTGCAAGCCATCTTGGCGCTGGGGAAGTAAGTTTGATGCCTTGACACCAAACCCGCGAAAACAACTCATGGCTAACGACTCTGACCTCTAGTCAAACAAACAAAATTGCATGGGAAAGGCTACCAAATCACTGGAATCTCATGCTGTTTTACACCATCTGGAACTTTTTTGAGCTCCTGTTTGTGTGGTTCTTCTATGTCGAGACTAAAGGGCCGACCCTGGAAGAAATTGCCAAGATTTTCGACGGAGATGGTGCTATTGCTCACATCGACATGCACCAAGTGCAAAAGGACATCTATCAGAATACTCCAGACGATCACGATGAACTGCCAGGGAGGGCGTTATAATTTTTTCGAGACAGTTTTCTTAGTTCACTCCTTGGATTGGTGCTGCATAGCCGGGCGTTTCAACGGGATCATATTGGCAGGGTTTGGAAAAGGAAAACGGAAAGCATTGGGGCAATGACACAGGGCATTTGGCACACAACTATGATACCACAGATATTGACGAACTCAGTAAAGAAGGTAGTTAAATTGATTTCTTTCAACATTTGCCGTCGGGCGTTACGCCCAAGCATCATTTGGATATTTATTTAGGCCCCTCACACTCCACCTCGACCGCTTTACTGAAATCTCTAAGAAACCTCCAAGTGGCTTCTCTTTTCCAGCCTTGTTCAACAAATTGGCCAGGCGTTTCTGTCGGAAAGAAGTCGACAATGTCACCAAGACTCTCATCGTGGCTGGCACGGACAAGGGCTCGATCGTTGCAATCCAACTCTTGCAGCTTTTTGACTGTTGCTCGCAACATGTCAACGTTGTGATGCCAGCGTGAACCATGGCTGGCGCACGACGTGTAGAAGCTCGCCCTTTTTCCGTTTGGAAGAAGACGGCTGAGCCGAGGCGATTCCGTGCACAATGTTTCATCCGAAGTTGAACCTGATGCACAAAATGGGAGGGTGATATTACGTCGGGTAAAGGGAGGTAAGGGGATGGTCTTAGTTCTCCAGGGTGATGGATCGTATCTCCAGCCAACAAAACAAACGAGGTTGGAGTGACTCGCGCAAACGCGCAGATATATCCCACCGTATGGCCGGGGGCATCCAAGAGAAACAATGATCTGTCACCAAGGAAGTCGAAGGCGAGGAAGTTTCCAAGCTTGCAGCTTTCTTTACCAAACTCCGGTTCCGTGATCCGGCGCCCAGCATAGTCACTATCGCGGATGACACTGGCTGGATCGGCCGGGTAGCCCGGTAGCAATTTCGTTGTGAATCCAGGGCCAACAATGAGTGGAACAGTTGTCAGAAAGGTGGATGGGTCACTGATATGGTCAAATGATGATGGGACAGAATAATCCCGTAAATGGAGCTCGTGTCGACACCATTTGCCACCAAGATGTCATGCACATCCATTTCAACATGCAGCTACCACACTAACGCAAGCAGGCGACTGACCAAATCAGGGGCAAGATTACGCCAATCTTTTCGTATTCCTAGATCAAATAGGAATGTCTTTTTGAGAGTTGGGTGGTGGATGAGGAACGACCAAATTGGAGCTGCAAGCCCTCTGTGACCCGTTGTCGGAGGCCCAAAGAACAGCTCGGCAGGACAGGAATGGATAGTCGCGGTGGTGTTATCGCTGAAATCGAGACCGTTGAAGATGATAGTGGGACATGAAGTTGAGGTGGTGTGGCAGCCATAATCAAGAAGGGAAAGTAAGGTAGATTCTTAGTAATTTTTCACAATGTACCTATACAACGTGAACCTTTGGACTCTAAGTACATGATTTTCCGTCATTGTATCAAGAAGTGGTCTTCATTATCTCATAGTTGGAGCAACAAAAAACAAAAATTGAAAAAGATTGGATGTCAAAAAGCAACGATCCGCCCAGGGGTCGAACCTGGAACCTCCTGATTGATACTTGTATCGTAGTCAGACGCGCTGCCATTACGCCAGCGGACCAATGAGAATTGATATTTTGTCGATTGTAATTTATGGTTACATTGGATCTGAACAACTTTGTGCAGCATACCTTAGCGAGTGACGAAATTCGTTAATCTCTCGTCATTCATAAACCCCCCAAAAGAAAACCAGCCATCGCAAGTGCTACCTTGAGACATTTTTCCAGCCTTCTTTTCACATACCTATACCTCAATAGCATCGACGGGTGCTACCATCCGACGCCATGCCGTATACATCCACCTTTCCGTTATCCCATGCTAAGCCGCTAGGTTTCGTAGTAACACTGCCGCCCATATTATCCCACGAAGCTGTCCACTGGCCATTGGTGGCCTTTTTGCGGTACATGGCACCGTCCCGGCCAGTGTAGTACACTTCCATCTGATTGCCCCAAGCAACAACATCTGGAGCCGTGCCTGGTCGCACATCACCACCCATGTTCATCCAGTTACCCCAATTCCCGGTGCTGTTGGTGTAAGTTCTCATCCACACCGCCCCGTCGGTTCCCCCAACGGCCACAGTCATATTGCCGCTCCAAGCAACGGCGCTGGGTTCACTATCCAACGAGCCCCCGAGGTTTGTCCAGCTTCCCCAAGTATTTCCATTCATCATTTGTTTCGCCCATGCCTGTCCATCTGTCCCTCTCACCACCACTGCCGTGTGGCCTTCACCCCAGCTTACAGACTTTGGCGCACCGGCGAGGGAGCCGCCCATGTTTTGCCAGCTGCCCCATCCGCTATTCTCGTCGTACCTAATCCCCCACAGCTGATTGTCACTGGAGCTGGTGTAGACAGACGCATGCCTGCCGCCCCAGGAGCACGAGGAAGGATAGTGCTTGCAGTTGCCCCCCATCGGTTGCCATGATCCCCACCCACCGCCACTGTAGGGGCGATGCCAGATCTGATAGTCTGTTCCTTTGCAAAACAGGTGCATATATCCACTTCTCCTGCTGCAACAACTTGGAGCAGAGTCGAGACTTCCACCCAGATCGTCCCACTCTGGAATCCACGGGTTGCTACCGCCGCGATAGTACTTGTGACGGCATTTTCGGTCGCGATGCGTATAATATACGTCCTGCCGACCGGGGCCCCAGGATGTAACCGCGGGGTGGTACAAGCCTGAGCCAGACATGTTTTCCCACTGGCCAGATGTTGCTCGCTTGGTTTGTTGCTCGGGGTTGATCAAGGGTGAGGCAGGTGAGGATACCTGGCGAGGAGAACGGGCTTTGAAAGACGGAGAGGGATTAGTGAAGTACTCGATCGAGTGAACATTGGACCGCTTGGAGAGGAAGTTATCGGGGCGGGTCGTATTCCAATAGTCAATATCTCTTGCTTCCGCGCGGCTGCGGATGAGGAAAGGTGAAGGACGGGTGCGGGGCCCTATAAGATCAGGTGATGGGAGGGAAAAGACGAGAAGGGGTAGGGTGAGCAATATGATGTAATGGATCATGTTTTGCAGGAGGTTGGATTCGATGGTTTTAGAGTCTGCAGTGATTGAAGTGGGTGTTTCGTGATGACGGTAACAAGCAAGCTTCCAGAGACAAAAAGGAGACTTTTATAGACAGCAAACTTGCGTGCTTCTGCATCCAGACGGACTTGCATGGGGCCTTACGATGGAACAGTCCTCGTCCTGAGTCAGTTCATAGCCATACAGATTGCGGCTGGACGGCTACCAATCTTCATTATTGCGACACTTCTCACCTTATCTTGTGTGAATACTGGGTCAGTCTGACCCTGGGAGAGTTCCTACTGGCTATTTTCTCACAGCGTGTTATTCACTTTCGTTCTGAGTTCCCACTGCGAGACATCCAAGTGGTCACAAAGCCATGGATGCTTTTCTCACAATACAAAATACCGACAGGACACCAGGGTTGCACTGCAGCACACTGTACCCGCATAATGAAGTGGTGGCCCATTCATGTGGGCACTTGCTTGTTGCCAAGTCCGAATAAAGGGATCGAGTTGACCGGGTATGAATCTTGCCGATGCCCATTACCATCAGGGAGAGGGGGCAGGCCGGGAAGGTAAGGTAAGGTAGCACCTAACAAGATGAAAGAGGAAACCACCCCGACTTGACATATCAAAGGAAGATAGCTCGAGAACGAGTCTCAACCCAGTCGTGATGCAACTGTTTGAAGCGTCCGAGGTCTATGGTTGCATAGCTATCTACGACCGCATGATCAGTTCCAGAGTCTCATGGGGTACATAGAGCTTGCTGTTGTTTAGTTCACGGCTATTTGAGTCTTGGTGACTGTCACGCATTCGAAGATGAAACTCGGCTTACCTCTCTTATCTATATGGGGCTCATCGATACTCTCCGTCACTTTCTCCGCTGCGTATCAACTTTCAACCCAGGTATGGTAACCACTGTAACATACCAGACTCAACCCACCGCCTCTCCAGTTCCCGAAATATGCTATTATTGCTCGTTTGGTGTCACACCACCGTTCATGTTATCTTTTCCGAGGCATAGGTGATGTCCTCTTCCGCGAGGCTCATGGTGGTGTGTATCAGAGTACCAAGGTATCTGTGTGCCGCTACAATGTCAACGATGGACGGGAAACCTTGACTTGCTTTCCCCCGAAATTGGCCCAGATTGCTCATGGCTGAGCTGTAGGTTGGTATCAAACTGATTAGAGATTGTTAGGGAAATGGAAATAAAACTCCATGCTACATACAGAAAAGCGTAAAATGAAAACGGAAAACCAAAGAAAAACAGAATAACCCCCCCTTCCCACGTCTAAGACTCTAAGGTATTATGCTCCCACACCTGATACAACTGCCCACTTTCGTTTTTGGAATCTCGACTCTACCCTCATCAACTTGAACATATTGGACCTAGGAAAAGCAGCTCTTGGCCCAAAGGATAGCTTTAACCTTGAGGGGAATCTTGTTGCTCTTGCCAGAGTTAAGTTCACGGACCTGGATGCCGTGCTTCTCCTTCAAGGGGCCCTCGTTGGAGGATAAAGATTGCCTTCCTGGAGCGTCAACATCATCAGTTCTGTCGCCAGTGTAGATCTGACGGGGACGCCAAATCTTAATGGGTTTGTCTGTCAATTACAATGTTAGGATCTGATTCTGAAAGGTAGACCTAGATTCGGATGTGGAAACATACCCAAGGTCTCTCTCCAGTGTGCGAGACCACCGGGAATTCGCGATAGAGTGATGATGGCCGTGATCATGTCGGTCTCGAAGCCCCTGCGACAAGATGGTTTGTTAGCATTTGTCTCACCACATGGAATGCACGAACGATGGCACGTACAGAGCAGAGTACAAGAAGCATCCCAACAGATCGGCATTCGCCTTGAGCTTCCTGCTCACAAAGTACTCGTCCTCATTGGCCAGCTTGTCGATGGCAAAGGCAACCCTGAGCAGAGGGTTGGCGTCACACTTCTCCCTGTTCTTCTCAATAAGTTCCTCAATGAGGGAAAGGCGGGGGTCGCGGGTGCGGTAGATGCGGTGACCGTAGCCGAACAGACGAGCCTTCTTGGACTTGACCATTTCAATGTAAGCAGGGACAAAACTGGGGTGCTTGATCTTGCCCAGTGCTTCATAAGCAAGATCGATGGCGCCTCCATGAAGGGGACCAAATCCGCATACCAGAGCGGAAATGGCGCAAGAGCCTGGATCGGCAAGAGTGGAGCCAGCATGGAGAAGGCCGGCGGTAGAGTTGGTCATCTCATGGTCTGCGTAGCAGATCCAGAGCTTCTCAAGGCACGCCTGAATCTCGGGATCGGGACCAACACCAGTCTCCTTGTTTGTCTTGCCCATCATCAACAGCAGATTTCCAATGAGGCTGCCATTGGGATCCGGGTTTGTGAAGGTCAGCTTTCGCTTGTGACAGTGAATGAGAGCGAGGGTAGTAGCATAGTAGGCGATGGTGCGGATGATGGCCGCATCGGCCTGTTCGAAGTTGTTGTGGAAGCTGGGTTTGTGTGTGTGTCGATTGTTGGCAATCACCTTGTCCCCTGACATGAAGGCACAGAGACCGGCGAGGCACATCGGGTATGTATCGCTGTTGCGTCTGGAGAGCAAGCACGGTGGTCAGTATGGAGCTCACCCGGTCGACCGAGAGTGTTGATGCCACTTACGGGAACGCAGCTATGGTGTCAACGACTGTCTTGGTTGGTACCATGGCAGCAGCGAACTTTCGTCGCACATCCAGCTTTTCGGCTTGTGTAGGAAGCTTTCCCCACATCAAGAGGTAAAGCACATCCTCATAGTCATTGTTTTGGAAGAGCTCTTGGATGGGATGGCCACGATATTGGATTTGGCCCCGGTTGCCGTCACTGTCTTGCATTAACACGTGGAGCCAAGTAAAAGGTGAACTGGCACTTACATCAGGGTGATCTCGGATTCCATGCACGCGACATTCTCAAAGCCATTGTCGAGGACGGTGAGCTTCTGCTCAATATCGCTGCCCTTTGGATCTGGGGTGGTGATAGCCATGAGGTCCTTGGCCCGGATGAAGTTATCATGGATGGGGATGAGGTAGGCATTCTCGGTGCGAGAATCCACAATGCGCAGTTGGCCGGTCTCTTTGGAAGGCATATTGGCGGTTGGTCAACGTTGACTGAGCGTGAACGAGTATTCAAGTCGATGCGGACTGGAGTGTTGGTTGGATGTCGTGGATCAGTATCACGGTACAAGTGCTGGCATTTAAGCACTTTTGGAAGTTAGGACGGGGACTGTTGAGGATGTCGAGTCCTTTTCCCAACTTGGATTGCACTGATTCACATTTCCGTCATGTAATTGTCGCTGGGGGTGATGTCGTGTCTCAACAAGTCGTGGGGTCGGCCATCCGGGAAGTTCGGAAGATCCCTTCCACATATAGCAAGTGTTCGAGGAGCGGCAACAATGGAACCGTTGCAGCCGCACAGCGAGCTATCCGTGAGACTTTTGGGATATCGGGGAGTCAAGTGCTGCGCAGGACTTTTTCTTCCATTCCATAGGAGCCGGCGGCAGTACCTTGCGATTGGGAAATGGTTCGCTGACCCGGACCTGCAGGTGTGTAACACGTACCTGGGGCGTGGTGTCCCCACAAAATCCTCAGATTCCTTTCCATCGCTTCCGTGCGCGCAGCTCACGGCTGTTTCGGTCAAGTCCGCCTCATAGAAGCTCTACCGGTCTGGAATCCTTTGAGAAAGATATTATCTGATAATGTCAAAATTGTGGCATGTTTGATCTTTGTTGATGTCTTGGCGGTCGGACCAGGAGATGTTGAGATCTTCCGGGCTTATGCCGTCCTTGTTTACTGCATTCCGCATTCCGACAACTCCAAGTTCATAAGTCCCAGGAGTCAGCGCGCACTCTGAATGTTTTGTTTCTCATCACCATCACCACCATCCACTAGAAGCCTCCGCCGCCTGCTCTCAACGCTCTCAACTACAAACACTTTTGCACAACATCTTACCTTTCATACAACTTCGAAATCGATCAGAATGGCCGCTGCTGCTGTTGCCCCCACCTCCACCACAGGCTTTGTCTGCATGTGGAATGGCACCAAGGACGGTGCCGACGCTTTTGTCGACTATGGCAATGGCAACACCAACATCAACGAGCCCCAGAAGGTCAATATTGTGGCTCACGACATCCGCCACTTGGAGCCCAAGCCATCTCTCGCCGGAGACGGCTACGAGCTCGCCGACCACGTCAGCAATCTTTCCACCGAGGACATGCTTGCTGGAAACACTCCCGAGGGCCGCAAGTTGATTGAGACCGAGTACTATGCCGAGTGCAAGAAGATCATTGCCGACATCACCAAGGCCCCCATCGTGGAGCCTTACATCTTCCGCATCCGACAAAACGGTGCTCATCCTCGCGATTTTGGCACCAAGAACGTGGCCAACAAGGGCATGACCTCGGCCTCCCTTCCAATTGCCCATGTTGACCGTGACCGCCGCACGCTCCGCGACGGCATCATTGAGTACTTTGGCGCAGATGAGGCCGAGAGACTGTTCAAGAAGCACAAGCGGTATGCCCAGATCAACGTTTGGCGTGGTGTGGACGAGGTCATCAAGAAGTGGCCCCTCATCTTTATCAACCACGCCCAGGTCCCCAACTGGGATTATGACAGCCACATGGCCACAGTTACGCCCATCAATGACCCCCGCGTCGCCATCCGCGGCCAAAAGGCGCAGGACAGTGTTCTCAAGTATGCCGCCGAGTACAGCTACTACTATGTCAGCGACATGAAGAAGGAGGAGGTGCTTGTCTTCTCGTCAGGCGACAGCGATGCCGCTCGCGTTGTGCCCCACGGCGCTTTCTGGGACGACAACACGGCTGATGATGCGCCCACCAGGCGCTCGCTCGAGGTCCGTGCCTGGGTTTTCTTTGACGACGAGGAGTAATTGAGATGAACGTGTTGGTGCTTCGATGATCTGTTTCAATTTTTCCACTCACTAGACTAGCTTAGATAAATCAAACCGTGCAAGTTGTCATGATGCCTCCATTCACAATGTCGTTTTGTCTTGCAATGTCTTGAAAGGAGATCTCGACATGTCTGCTGTCAGCTGTTCAAGTGAAGGTCCCTGCTTGTGTGTCTGTGCCTGAGAGTTGTGATTGGTTGTGATTGAAATAGAAATGCGGGAGCTAGCCCTAGCGCATGTTTTTGGCCTCCCAGAGCCCCACTCTCAACGTCCAATGACGTGTTTGAGCCTGGGCCACTTTGATAACATCAAAAAAGGACTACCCAAAGAGGAAACAAGCTCAGCGCCAATGGCAGATGTACCGAGATCCCCGCAGGGTCAGCGTTACACCACGGCAAGCCTCACACGGACACGGACTGGTTTTCTCGTCACTTTTGTCCTGTCCATAACAACCACTGACTTCAAGGCGGTGTTTTCCCATCAGGTCTGCGTTTTTCACTCCGTTCTGGTCCAGGCCCCGGTAATGCCGATCATTCCCATTCCGCTCTTCTATTGTTCAAACCGTGTCATCGGGTTTCGCTCTGATGGCATCAAATCTGAGTCAACTATGAAATGTAAGACAGGACAGTCAAAGCTGGAATTGAGGCCTGCCATCTCAGACGTGTCTTGATCCAGCCCTTTTCACTGCATGTGCACAGTACCGGGAAATGGGGATCTGGGGACATCGTACCTCCAGGAACCGTCCCCTTCTCGTGCTCTGTTGCCGTTTGGGGGGACTAGAAATGGACAGCATGTGAAATTGGGCCACCAGTTCTTACCAAAGCTCAAAGCCCCGGGGCGGAGGCAAACTCGGCACGGAGAACGGAACATATTTGGCTCCATCACATATCGGCTTCTTCGGTGTTCCTATTGCTAGAATTCGGTAGTGACTGGCGAGGTAGGTTAGCTTAAACCACGAGATAGCATCAAAACCTCCAAAGAGAACCGTCCCGGCTTTGGGATCTGACTGCACGTGGGCTTATCCGCCAAGCCTCCCCTACTTCTGGTCACAGTCCACAGATCCTGGCCATCAGCGATAGAGCTACTACAAAGGTAGGCAACCCCGACTCTTCCAGTCATGAGCCGCAAAGTCGCATCATACCTCGGTATCTTGACAATGGCAACCGGGGGAACGGAGTCGTCGGAGACCCAGGCAAGAAGACAGACCCTCAAGAAGTCTTCCCTTCTCAGTACCACCACATGGCATCCATTTCCTTCATGGCTCCGCCGGGGCGCTGGGTCTTTTCAATGGGATATTCATAATCTGGCAATCGATTCTCCCTCTGTTGACTCGATGCCAAGACAAGCATAACCATCAGATGTCAAACAGTTTTGGGATTAGTCTCACAGTCCCACCCACACCCCGGATGTGCGGCAGGGGGGCGCGGCCACTAATAGTGGACCTTCTGGAATGCAACCCAACAATGGGGTGGCCACAAGGAAAGACGGGCTCGACCGAGACACCGGGAGAAAGGGCACTTTGGCTCCCTATCCTCCGTTCCATGACACCTTCTCCTCGCCTGAAAATGCACGACATAAGTGTAAAAGAACATCGACGACGCGCTGAACATTGGCATCCACCACCGCTTTGAACCTGGCCAAGCCTTGAGGGTTTTCTCTTCGTTTTATCGTCTTTATTTTTGTTTTCTTGCCCTGGGCTTGCCCTGGGTACCATCAAAACACACCGTCATGGCAGTCATGGCAACCGTGGCGACAGGAAGCACATCTGCTCTCGCTGCTGTCGACACCGAGCCCATCTCTGAGCAGCCCGTCTCGGACGGTGTTGACGACGTCGACGTGCCACCTCCGTATTCCGTATGGTCACCGTGGCAAAAGAAGCTCATCGTCGCCGGCGCCGCCTTTGGTGGTTTCTTCAACCCAATCACGGCCCAAGTCTACCTACCTGCTCTAACCGTCTTGGAAGACGAGTTCGGCGTCACCGAGGCCGAAATCAACCTGACCGTTACCACCTACATGATCTTCCAGGGCTTGACTCCTATCCTATTCAGTGGTTTTACCGACACACTGGGAAGACGACCTGGATACATCTTCTGTTTCATCGTATACATCTCAGCCAACATTGCCCTGGCTCTCGCAAATGACTATGAGGACTTGCTGGTAATACGGTGTTTCCAGTCAGCCGGATCAGCGACCATCATGGTGATCTGTCAGGCAGTGGTGGCCGACATCATCACCAGCGCCGAAAGAGGAGCTTATATTGCATTGACGGCCATCCCGTCCATTCTGGGCCCATCCCTCGGTCCCGTCATTGGCGGTGCCATGACGCAATACATGGGTTGGAGGAGCATCTTTTGGATGTTGACCATTGCAGCGGGCATCAACTTCTTGCTCATGCTGTTGTTCATACCAGAAACGTGCCGCAAGGTGGTAGGTGACGGATCCGTCCGCCCTCCCTGGTGGTGTCAGAGCGTGTATCAGTGGTTTTACTACCGTCGGCACCCCAGTGTCCCTCAAAACCTTAACTCGCTTGAAAAGTCTGCGTACACCACGGATGAGGGCAAACTCAAGTACGCCACTTCTCACTTGTTTTCATCCTTTGCGTTGCTCCGAGAGAAGGAGCTTGCACTTTTACTCATCATCGGCGGTACCGTTTTCACTGGGGTCTATGCCGTGGGAACGGCCATGCCAGCCCTCCTCCAAAACTTGTATGGCTTTACCCCCATGCAAATTGGACTCATGTATTTACCATTGGCTGGTGGCTCAATCCTTGCGGTGGTGTTTGTTGGGCCCGGCATGAACTGGAACCTGAGACGGCATGCCAGAAAGCTGGGAATGCCGGTGGACAAGAAAACCAAGATGGACCTCAGTCGGTTTCCCATTGAGAAGGTTAGACTGGAGATTGCATTCCCATTTTTGCTCTTGGGCGTCGGGATTATAACTTCTTGGGGCTGGATCACCGTCAACAAGGTCGAGATTGAAAAGGTGATCATTGTGGTGCTTTTCCTTGGGGTTGGTTTGGTTGGAGTCAACAATGTGGTCAACGCGCTGATTGTCGACATTTATCCCGACACAGCCGGCGCGGCGCTGGCAGCCTACAACCTAGCAAAATGCATCATGGGCGCAGCATCGTCTGGATTCGTCGCGCCCATGATCCTAGGGATGGGCATGGGTCCGGCGTTTACTCTCTTGGGTTGTCTCTACCTTCTACTCGTGCCCATCATACTCTTGGTAATGTGGAAGGGGGTTGCCTGGAGGACATCCAGACATGCAAGAGAGCTGAGAAAGAAGGGCAGCATCTTAGTCAGGGAGCAAGAGCCTCAGGAATCGGTTTCTGATACTGACATGGCAAGCACACCGCAAAAGGAAACAACGAGTACCGAGATTCTGCCGGCAGAAAAGGACGCGAGGTCGACATCATAGTCCACTTCGTTTAATGGATGGAATAACTACGAGCATGCGTGTATTGATAGACGATAGACTACTGTGTATTTTTGATTGCCGTTTGCCATTGGGAACCATATGTACAATTGTAATTTCCGAATCCATCATTTCATGATACAACCCGTCCAGCCTCATTAAGTATGGCTTCACACCATGAAGCCTATTACCACTTCGTGTACAAAAATCCAAACACATATTACAACAACTTCTCCCTCGCCATACATCTTGTAACGCCCAAGAGCGTCAACGTACCGCGTTGCCAGTCCAATTCGTCATCCCTCTACACCGTGGTTGTGGTTCCATGACCGTTGCTCACAGGGACTGCGTTGCCACTCGTAAGCGGTCTGTCTTTCTCGATGTCACCACCGTGGAGAAGTCTGTTCGTCCGCGAACCAGCCCACATCAGAGCTTCTAAGATCGCATTGAGGAACAGGTATGAACTACAATAGTAACGCGTTAGTGAGCACTGGGGTGGCATACTGTGTAGAGATCGACTACTTACAACCCAATGATCCAAAATGCCTGAATGGTATGCTTGAGCCGGCACCTGTTGACAAAAGGAGGAGAATTGTACAAGCACCTATTACCGGCATAATCCTGGCTGCTGAAAATCAAGCTTGTGAGCCAGAAGTATGAGAGCAGGAGGTTAAGCGGAAGCATGTAGCCTCTGTAAAATTTGAATGCCGGTAAAAAGGTTGCAAAAAGATATAGAAAAAGGGTCACTACCGCAATCACTTCTTGGTACACAAGATGTGTGTTTCGGTAGCGGTAGTGGTGTAAAAAGTAGGACAAGATCCCAGTCAAGATGGTTGACGACGCAAGCACCAAAAAGTTGTGGAGCCCAAGAATGGTGCGGATGATGGGATTGTCAAAAAAGCGCTTGGTGTTGGTGGTGTCCATCTTGGTGGTTATTCTTGATCTAACAGAGGGCAATGCTGATGTTGGTGAGAGGCGGAGATTGGGGCAGTTGTCCGTCTCTGGGATTTCTGGAACAAGACAATCTTTAAACCAGACAACCTCACAACGAATGACGTGTAGCTTCACGTATTCATGACGCATGTTACATGCCCCGTGTCACCTACATTTTTCGCTGGGCGGTGATGCTGGAAGAAGTGCAGGTGACGTCAAGGAGGGCCCAAAGCGCAGTGTTGAAACAAATACCAATGCTGAATGACGATGGCTTGTCTGAACCTTGCATCTTCAAAGTGTCATCAGATGTGCTGTGCATTGATATTGGGGAAGACTGTTCCGGAAAACGCAGCGCAAGTCTAGGATGGATATGGATGTGGCCCTGAGGGACGGGGAGCTAAGGCCTCAGACAATGAGTTGTAATTCTGATTCAGTTTCAAACATCCCTGTCGCGACCTTTTCCGCCTAACACATCTAGAGGTATGGTTTTGGGTTGATCGCTGCCACTGGCGCCGTTGCCTATCGCTTTCCCATCACTTACCAGCGAGATGCTGTTTTCGTTGTTGGTTATGCTCCTCCATGTCTTCGAAAACACGTTCCCGGCAACAAGCGGAAAGCTCCGTGACTTTCTGATCTGTCGCAATATGGGGTTCATGATTGTTAGAGTGGCACATATTATGGCGGTGGTAAGATGAAGTGTAGCCCAGAGCACAATCTTGAACTGATTGGGATTTCGGGCGGTAGGGACGTAGCCGAGCACAACCTTGACGATTCCGGTCACCACAACACTGTGAGAAGAAGAGACAAGTTAGCTAGATAACATACATCCAATCGACAAACAGCGTCTATGTAAATCTTACAATACTCCGAGGAAGAAAATGCCCCCGGCTGACAGTTTGTTCGCGGGCGGTATGTTGAGCTTTCGGAGACTTGCCATCGGAAGTCCTAGAATCATGATGTTCAAAATGACTTCAAAGATTCCCATTGCCAGCCAAAAGATGTTGTAGTTATAGCAATACCGCTCGTCGTTTATAGGCAATTCCCAAGCCTTCTCCACAGGGACGCAGTTGAAAACGGAGGCGATTGTTCCGGTTAGCGCCCACCCGAAGACGAGTGCGCTGACGACAATGAGCTGAATATTGAATGCCTTGTCTGATTGAAAGATGCGACGGTACATGAGCAAGATACTCAGCATTGCGGTACCGCTGACGACAAAATAAAGCATTGCAACGACATAAACCATTTTGTGGTAGAGTGTGATTCGCTCGAGGTCGTGGCCTGACAGCCCCAGCTGGCCTTCGACAAGGACATCGGCCAGCCATAATCCGTAAGCAGCAACGACATAAACTACATGAGAATGTTGAAGGTTAACTTTGAGACCATGAAGATCTAGGGAGAATAACGCACACCACTGTAAAAGCCCACCGCAGACAGATAGTCCGATCGTGGACCCAACAACCATGTAACCATCTAGCCCAACTCCCTGTCTAGAGTATAATCGGGTGTAAATACGAGCGATGGCCGAAAGGATAGCGAGTGTTAGTGCTACAACAGCAGTGACGAGAACTGCGGTGGTGTTGCCCGCACTGTTAGATTCCTCAAAGGGGATCAGTGGGGGCGGATCTGGGGTAGAAGACGAGGGAGATGACATGTTGACTCGTGGCGTGGGTGATTGGTGCTGTGTTTGGCACTGCATTTGCTCTTTAAAAGAGGAAAAGATATCATCTTGCCCATCGAGATTGAAATTTCTCGACAGGATTCAACCAGCAAGCGTAGATAGAATGTTGCCATGCGGCGTTGCCGTTATTCTTTTGGTGATCCTTTCACATGTGTGGCACGTGTGCTTTGGTTGACGCTTGACCGAAGACAAAGACTTGGTTGGCCGTGCGTCACGAACTCGAGTGCACTCTTTGACCGAAGCAGGTACTACAAGATAACAAACCTTAGATTCATTGTTCGAAATGCTTGGCCTCGGGTTGAATCGCCTTCAACGAGATCCGGGGTGGCCGAGTAGCCGATAGCACGTTGGTTCTGAGATTCAACTTCTACTACCTTGGGTTCGGTCATTTTTGTTGGGCATTTTCCTCATTTGATAGTACGCTCGCGATTCAAGTTCAACCAGATGAGTGGTCAAACTAGACGAGATTTGCTTGGTTTAGATCTACAGGAGAGGTGGTGTGGGGATTCCTGACTGCTAGCCCTGTCGGATGAAGATGGCTGGTGTCTACCGACGGGATTGGAGCGGCTCGACAAGTGTCAAACACCATTCATCATTGGACCGGTTAAAGGTGGTGACATCGTCTAAAAGAGATGCTCTGGAGCCAGAAACATGGTTTTCAGACCTAGGAGAACGTGAAATGGTCATAATGGGAGTCAACGAAACCCCTCTGGTTATGCACGACGCGCGGCGTCTATGCAATTTTCAATGGTTCCGTACCCAACAGATTGGGTAATGACGGACCGACGGTGATCTCATGGCACTTGATATACGACTCTTCAAACGCTTGATTGTCCGTCTAGCCATAACTGTGGATACCTATATTGCTGCAAGGGGTTGCAATTATCCCCGACCCGCGTTTGCGAGACAGGCTAGAAAGCAGCCGGCTATTACCACCAGTCTCAACGATCACGAGTCTGTATGTTTTCTGGGGTAAAGGCAATTACCAGGATCCACCGAGAATCTGGGGAACTCCGCACATTTGGCATTGATGGTATTCCGGCTAAAAGGGGAGAGCTTACAATCCAGCCGCCACCACCTAGACGATCGCATCATGGTTGTTTGGGCATCTTTAAAAAGGGACTCTTGTTCTCGTTGTGTGAGCCAAGTTCTTGGTCATACCGCAACCTCATTCTTACCATGCTTCGCCTCGCATTGTTGGCCGGTATTGGCCTAGCCAAAGGGGCATTGGGTGTCAATCTCATTGCCTCTCACTTCAGCGGCGGCATCTATACCCTTTCTCTGACCACCACAGGTACCAGCGGTACCATCTCGGTGACATCTCAAACCAACGGATGCGGGACTACTCCCGGATGGATTGAGTTGTACTCCGACACTCGAAAACTTTATTGCTTTGACGAATCGTGGACGGGTCGCGGCCAACATGCCGAGTTCAACGTTCAGAACGATGGACGGCTTTCCCTAGCCTCGTCTTTGCAGGTTTCAGGCAATTCTGTGCATGGGATTCTTTACGGCGGTCCCGATGGCAGGAGTTACATTGCCACGGCCGAATAGTACGTTTCCCGCTCAACTCCTCAAAACCACAATGACCTTTCCTTGACACACCCGCAGTTCTCCCTCAACCATTACCACCTACAAGCTTCCCCTCCAGGGCAGTCGGGTACAACAGACGGAAAAATTCACCCTTGCTCGTCGTGGGCCCCATCAAAGACAGGATGTCCCTCATCCCCACGAGGTGCATCTTGATCCTACCGGAAAGTTCATCCTTGTTCCTGACCTGGGTGCCGATTTGATCCGCGTGTTCCGCATTGACACCAACTCTGGCCGTCTCACTTCATGTGCTTCCCACGCAACCGGTGCCGGTGACGGACCTCGTCACGTAAAGTTCTGGAAGTCGGAGAGCGGCAAGGAAAAGGTTTTCTCCCTCAACGAGCTTGGCAATTCCGTTTCTGCCTGGGATGTCAACTACACCAACGACTGCATCTCGCTCACCAGGACTCACAGCATCTCCACCTACGCCCCCGGCAAGAAAGGTGGCGCCAACACCAAAGCGGCCGAGATTCGTACTTTTGGAAACTTTTTGTACGCTTCCAACAGAGCTGATCAGACGTTTGGCAACTCTCAGGATTCCATCGCCATTTACACCATCGACCCCACCACTGGTGCCATTGCCTGGCTTGAGGCGGCCAACAGTTACTCGTACTATCCCCGTACATTTGCCTTCAACAAGAACGGCACCCTCGTCGCCATTGGTGGTCAAACCTCGAGCAACGTGGCTATTGTGGCAAGAGACACTGCAACTGGTAAGCTTGGAAACTTGGTGGCCAACGTCCAAGTAGGCCAAAAAGGCCGGGCTGGTGAAGAAGATGGTTTGAGTGCTGTTGTCTGGGCCGAGTAATATTGAAAAGGGCTATAAAAATAAGCAGAGGCTAAGAAAATAAGCATTCCGGTATTACCTCTCTGTCGCTCCGCTTCACATTTAAGATTGAGCATGCAGATCCTCGTAATGAAACGCCAGCTGCAATGAGCATAACCAGGTCGTGTCCTCTTATTTCGCAAAAGCTGGGCTTGCAGAATCCGTGACCAGATGCAGGATCAAGAGCTTCGTTTTCTTTTCTCTCAAATTACCAACCTGTTCCTTGAGACGAGCTGCCAGAAGCAAAACCGAAGCATTTGCATTGCTACTGTCAAAGTATGTGAATCCCAAAAACGGTTCACACGCCTTCTATCCCACTGTTCATGACCCAAAGACCGACAGATGATGCACGAAGGCATCAAGAGCTGAAAACTTGGAAGCAGTCAGAACCGATCGTGGCTGTTGCAAGCCAATGGTCATCTCGATGATTTACATTGACTCCCTGTTTCACTAGAACCTTGCAACTGTCCATAGGTTTTATCTAAGTTCAGATATAATACCTAACTCTTGATGCTCAGCACCAATATGTCTACCTACCGCCAAACGCCAAGCCAGATCCAAAGCAACCACGCAAAATACATTCGTGTAAAAGCCAACTATTCAAACCAACCTTACCTGGAGGACATACAATCCAGATATACACCCACACTGTCACCGCAAAAATCCTCCAGTAATATCCTTCGGTCTTCAACCTTCATTGTCAAATTGTGGTAAAGCCCACGTCTATTTCTTCCCAGATACCGTGGTCTTCTTCGCTGTCGTAACAGGGACAGAAGTCTTGGTCGCCGTAGCAGTCTTGGTCGCAACGGGGGCCGATGTTTTAGTCGCGGCGGGGGCTGAAGTCTTGGTTGCAGTAGAAGTCTTGACGGCAGCAGTGGTCTTGGCCGCTGTCGTCGCGGTCGACGTCTTGAGTCCCGTAGTATTAGCCGGAGCTGGGACCTTTTGACCTGGTTTGCTAGCTTGGGTGTTGAGGCCAGAAGTTGACTTGTCTGCCAAAGCCGGTCGTCCGGTTGCCGGTGTGGGTTTCGCGGTTGCTGTCACGGGCTTCGAGGTCGGAGCTTTAGTAGAAGCGTTGTTGACAGGTACTGAACCGGTAGTGTTTGAAGGGCTAGTCCTGCCACCTGTCGCACCCCCTCCGGTGCTAGGCCCGGGCCTCCCGGTACCGCTCTGACCAGTGGCCCCCGTTCCACTTCCACCGGCGGCGCCTGATCCTCCCCCTCCGCCAGCCGGGGGTGTTGGGAGCTGAAGGCCACCACCGCCTTGACCAGCGAGCCACTGTGGGTGCGGCTTTACCCAAGCCACATTCAATGTGTTGCAGCATTTCTGGCAGTTCGGATCCTTGGGTCCTCTGCTGCACGGCTCTTGAATCCCAACGTAATTGTTGGGTCCCTTGCCTGGACTATCCGGCCATAGACGAGCATCTTGACCGGAGAGTTTGCTGGTGACTTGGCATAGTAACGTCCGCCACGAACGTGTTGTGAGCGGGCCTCTTTCTCGAACCAGCTCTCAAAGACATACCAGACTCCATCTTCGGCATGGAGCTCACGGGGCCCATCTCTTGTCTGTTTCTTTCCATCCGCCGAGAGCACGACACGTGAAACGAGCGTCCCACCAGGCTTGCGCTTTGTACCAGCCTTCGTCAGTCTTGAGATATTCGTTGAACCTGCCCCTCGGAATCGTGCATTGGAACACCATACCACCTCGTGCAAAGCCCATGTTGACGTAAAGGGTAGCTACGAGAAGGGAGCTGGTCGTTGAGGTATAGGCTCCCTTGTTCGCATAGTTTCTGTGCAGCCAGTCGAATGCCTCCTTTCCCCAGGCCTCAAGCTGTCTATCTGTTGGCTCCTCGGGTCCGTCAAACTCCCAATGTCTGTACCAGACGGCACCTCCCACGTTATTGAGTGGGGGTGCTTGATCTTCCTGGCCCCAGATCTGGAGAGGAGTGTTGAGCGGAACGATGGCTGCCATGGTGGGGGATATGTCCCGAGTATACCAAAGTGTTCGGCGAGGAGATTAGTCCAAAAAAGGGGATAATAATGTAGGTGACTCGACCAGCGAGAATGAACTAGAGAAAGTATCAAGGCAGTGATGGTTGTCGTGATATGGTTCCAAACATCTTACGGACATGAAGAATAGTGATATTATATACATGGACCTGTCTTCCACTGGTAGTCCACAGAGCTCAAGAATAGCATAACACTATCATCTCCACACGCCTACTCTGCATCAGGCCCAGCATGTTAGAAGACGGGCCATCTTTCAGACCCGGTCATTGTGTCTGAGTACCTCTATTGAAACTGCCGCAAGACACCACAATGCTATGCTGCGGCGCTGAAATCGAAAAGAGTACCTGGCCATACGCTCAAAATGAAAGGGACAATTCTTCAGTTGCAATATCTGATGTGTCCATACCGAGATATCTCGCATCTCACAAACAGCGGCCACGGCAGATAATATCGGTATGTGCCGTAATGGTGAATGACGTCCGACGGTTTCTATCGAGAATAATGTCCCAGGAGAGAGTTCAAGTTTTCGCCTGCTGTCTTCTGTTTCCCTGGCTGGCTTACTGGTCTGGTCGTTGAAGCTCATGGTCTCACATTACCTTACGCCGCAACGACCTGACACATAGGCCACCATGGTTGGCTGGCTAGATTCTCTTTTAGTCAGGCTGAGGTGGTCAGCTGCCCACTGGCGTGCATGGTTGGCTGTTTCTCTTGACTGCACAGCGACTAAGCGAAGTTGCACTGCCAAACGCTTTC